ATTAGTCTGCTCATCCGCTCCTGAGTCGAAACTACACTGGACTGCATACTACAGCATTTTAAGTCCCAATATCTATAAGTCCCCTAAGGTAGTTTTTCTTCTTAGGTGTCTTAACTATTTTTGGCCTTTTGATTTCCATATATATTAGAATCAACTTGCTGAATTTCTTTAAAAATGCTGTTAGGATATTTTTATGAATTAAAAAAAATACATATATTGAAGAGAATTGACTTCTTTTCAGGATTGTATGTCCTCATTCATGAACATGTTTATTATTTCATTACATTCTAAAAAGCTATCATTTTCCACATAAATCTTGTACCTTTTTGTTATATTTTTTATTTGCTATATTTTGTTGCTATTAATGACTCCTTTCCTTTGTACATTTCATATTGTTTATTACAATGTAGACAATCATATAATCTACAACAAATTATAGTTTCATTTTTTATCTTTCCAATACTTTTACTTTGTAAATTCATTCATTTTTCTCATTGTACTTGCAAGGCCATGCAGTTTAACGTTGAATGGAAATAGCGGTAGCGGTCAAATGTTTTGTTTTTAAAGAAGGTGCTTTAAAAAAATTACAAAGAGAATGTTTTACTATTTCTTCAATGATTACGATATTTGATGATTTTGTTTTAAATATTATATTTTGGGTTAAGGAAGTTTCATTATGTCTTCGGTTTCTACTTAACCGACAATATTTTTATCTCCTTTCTGAATAATTAAGGCACCTGGATATTTTAGCTCATTTTGTCAAACCTTTTGCTTATAAGCTGTATTTTCCTACTGGCTTTAGATATGTTTTAATTTTCTTTTATTTCAACAATTTAGAATTTATTGTTATCATTTTCATAACATATGAACATTTGGATTGACTAGTTTTGTTTTGGTTTTTTTACATAGAATTTTCTCTCTAGAGTAATTTTCCTTCTGATCTTAATTCTTTAGTAATTCACTTAGGATAATAAAATCACTCAATTTTTGTTTTCCTTAAAATGTCTGTATTTCACTTTTATCTTTGAAAGATAGGTTCACTGTATATTCAGTTGCCTATAGGTAGAAAATTTATTTTTTTCTCTCTCATAACTTTGAGGATATTATTCTATTGTCTTCTGGTTTCCACTGTTACCATTACGGGACAACTTTCAGAGAGACCAAGTTCCTTTGGAAGTGATCTGTTTCCATGGGTCAGAAGACGGACCACAGAGTGGTTTACCTCATTTCTCTTCTCCAGGTCTCCTAAGGCTGAAACGAAGATGTCAGCCAACCTGCATCCCTCACTGGCGGTCCTAGAAGAGAATCTACATCCAAGCTCATTCAGGTTGTTGGCTGCATTCAGTTCCCAGTGTTTGTAGGACCGAGCTCCCCACTTCCCTGCTGGCTGTCAGCTGACGATCACCCTGGGCTCCTTGCACATGGTACCTACATCTCAGAACCAGCAAAGGAATGTGAAATCCTTCTTAGGCTGGGATCAATCTGCCCTTCTCTTGGCTGCTTCTCTCCTGACTCTCTTCTACCACATCAGATGCAGGGTTCTGGGTTCTGACTCTATGGCTTTGTCTCCTCTTCTCACTGTTCACGGATCAATCTGCCCTTCTCTTGGCTGCTTCTCTCCTACCACATCAGATGCAGGGTTCTGACTCGGTGGCTTTGTCTCCTCTTCTCACAGTTCAGCTTCCAGTGATCTCCCTCTACTCTGATCATCACTTACCATAGATTTACTCAGACATCCAAACAAATTATTGTTCTCTCCACTGCAATTTATTGTTATCGCCACTGCAATTTACAAAATCTTAAACTCTGGCAGTAAGATTTTCACACTCATAACCTGACTTCTATTTTTGGTCTTTCTTAGTTTTGTCATCCTCCTAGCAAAGGGAATGAGTTTAAGGGAAAAGGAATAAGACCAACTCTCAAACCAGGTAAACAAGAAGAAAAAAGGCGTTTGTTAAAATATGTTTATGCTTTAGTTTATCCTCCAAGTTACTTTTCAAAAACTGGATTCTTTTTTCAAATAGATTTAAATTTTTATTTTGATGGGTAATTCTTTATGTTCTGAGAGTACTTTCAGTTTAAGTAAATTGTTTGGATCAATTTAACATGAGGCAGACAAAACTCATGATGGTTTTAGAAGATCAAGCTAAAAAAAGAAAGCGTAAAGTCAAATGTTTATCTTCTTTAAAATGTGACAATGTTCTTTTGTATTGTTTGACTCTGTATCAAGTTACAACTCAAAGTTTTAAAATATTAAATGCCTGTAAATAGAGATTTTTAACTTTTATTTTTAAGTGGAACGTGACTTTTTTTTTATTATTAACCTGACTTGGAATGTCCAAAATGCTTTCATCTACAGATCCCTTGTAATTATTTTATTTCCTTATTGAATAAATATAATAACATTAACAAGTGTTATTAAGAGCACTGTATTAGCCACAGGAGACACAGACATGAGCCAGATCAATAAAGTTCCTCATGGAACTCAACTTCTCATGGAAGAGAGCGCCCCCACCTTCCCCCCAAAAAGCGAAAACATGTATAGCACAATATCAGGAAGTGATATGATAAGTCCTCTGAAGAAAATGATGATACGTGGTCAGAAGAAAGGATGGTTCAAGTGGGAACACTTTAGACATGGTGATTATCGAATGTCTTGTGATGAAGAAGAGATCTGGAGTAATGGAGGGAGGAAGTTCTGTAACCAGAGGAAGAACCCACCTCTAAAGGTATTTTATGACAACTGAAGAATCCATATCTAAAGACCCAACCTGTGAATAATGGACAGTAGAAAAATAAACCTAACTTTTTTTAAAAGATAAAAATTGACTTCCTGTTTTGGCATTTGAAGTCATGGGACTCGAAAATAACATAGACATAAACATTCATTTACTTGGACCTCTGCCAAAGAGTAGTGTGCATCCTTACCAAGCAAATTACATACACAGATAAGAACTAATTCTGTCAACAAGGTGTTAACAGAAAAGAAAAATACTCCTAGGTCACAAATGGATAGGAAATTATTTTTACTTCAGGGTTTCAACTGGGTTGTGACCATCTGCAAAAGTGAAAACTTATTGGAAAAAATCTAGATGATTAAATATGAAACAATGAAAGGAAGTCTCAGCCTGTATCCTAGCCCCGAGATGGAATGAGCTCCATTTCTGCACAGAAGGCAGTTTTGACAAAGCCAGATTCACCCATTCTACTCATTGGATTTGTTGTTTTAGGACAAATGCATTCTATACTATATTTTTATAAAAATGTATTCGTTTTTGAAATTAGTATTTATTAAATCAGGTAGCCTATAATACATATTTAAAATATTCATAGTAATTGAAGATTCTTACTCTGTTTCTAGAAGAATTTAGTATTTCAACATACTTTCATCCAGATTATATTTTTTCAGGAATAAGATGGTCTTTTAATTTTATATTTTTATCAATTTTGTTCGGAAATATTGAAAAGTAAGGGTAGCTATTAGAATGTGAGCCTCTTTTTTGTTTTCCTTAAGCAATAATTACAGTATTTTATTTACCTGATTATATGAAAATAAACCTTAGCAAGAATATTACATATTATTTGCTTAATGAAGTCTCTATATTTTCTATAACATTCATTGTTCTCCTTTAGGTTGTCTGTATTTTAATTTCCAATACTCTCATTGGAATTAAGAAATGAGCAGAATTAAGAAAAATTTAAGAATGAGCAGAAACAACCTAGTTTTTAGAGAATCAGGACTGCAAAAATGAACATGAGATAAACTTCATGTTATTTATTTATTTTTTTTCAAACTTTCTTACAGCTACTCTGGAATGTATTACTTCGCAAAGATGATTACCACTTCACATTATTCTAAAGACAGGGTGAATGCTAGTTATGCAAGAGTTAATGTTAGAGTTAATCAAAGACGGAGGAAACAAGATCTTTGAATGCAGTTTAGTGCAGCCATTAAGTACAGTTTGGCACCATTACTGCTACTTCCAACAACTTCCCAATGCTCAGAAGATTTAATCTAAACTAATAAAGTTTGCAGACAAAGTCTCTTGAAATTTTGACTAACCTACATCACCTGAAAAGTCTCATGTAATTCTTTCTTATGGCCACACTTTCCATACCCTATCGTCATACCCTGAATATCCCCAGAAGGAATTGTAATGATTCCTCTTTTTTGTCTATGTTGGCCTTTCCATCTTATTACCCTCCCTCTACTCAGTAAAATTATTTTCATACTTGCATACACTGTACCGAAGTCATCACTTCTCTCAGACTTCTCCATGAGGAAAAATTACAGTGATTATTGTACTCCTTGCTATGGCATTTAAAATTCTGTAGAATTGAATGTTTGCATTTTTGTGTCTCCTTGATTTTAAACAGGTTCCTTCGCTGTAGGAATTGTTTTTTCATATTCAAATGTAAAGCAATATATAAATCTTAGGTAACCTTTAAAAAATAAGTGAACATCAATTTTAATTTAAAAATTAAATATAAATTACATTTGAGATAACTATATATGAAATGATATAAGAAATAACTTTTCAACATTAATATACCAACTAGAGCAAGAGACACATTAAGAATTTAATAAGTAACTGAGATTTATAAAAAATAGGTATTAAAATTCATTGTACTCGAATATGGATTTCTGAAGAGTTTTTCCCTCCATAACTTATTATGTAAATACAATTTCCAAACATTGGAAAGAAGTCTATTTCTCTGTCCTACATAAATTTAATCCAAAGTGCTGTAGCTGAGAGTTTGTAGTCTTCCTCATGTATGTCAGTAGGAGACGGGGAAGGAACAAGAAAAAAAAAGTCTCTTATCCCAAAAGCATTTTGGAGGTGGCCAAGAGAAGGGCATTTAGTAATATAGCTGGGGAAATGACGAGAAGGAAATAGTTTCGTGTCTCAGGAACCATGTGGAATTCCAAGATAAGAAAAACAGTTGCTAATTTGAGTATAAAAGCAGGAAACATGATACACTTGTTTCCTTTTATGCAAACACAGTATATGAGGGGTTGTGTGAAAATTATTTTTCTCTCCTTGAACAACAAAGACATAGATTCAAAGTGCTTCTTTTGGACATACTGGCTTTGCTTTCTTTCTTTTTTTCTTCTCTCTCTTCTATTTCTTGTGGATATTATGGCTAATAACACAACAAGTTTAGGGAGTCCATGGCCAGAAAACTTTTGGGGTAAGATATTTTCTTTAACTGTTTTTAATTTAATATTAGGATGCAGAGAAATGTACTGCATTATTTATTAAAACATTGGGTATCTCTGAGATGTTTTGTTTACCGTAAATTGATTATGTTTTCATAGATTGATTATAATAAATACATTTATATAAAATGTCCTTCAAGTGAACTGTGAAGACACTCAAGAAGAATCTGGGCAACAACTACAGATTTGGGCCGGTGTTACAAAATATAATTAGAAAATAATTAGAATAAAACTGAGGAAAAAAGCTGAAAGTAATTGCTATTTGTAATATGATAATGTGGATTTTGCTGGAAAATTAAGTTTTACTTGTTTTAAAGTTACAGATTATGTATTTTATTTAATGAAACCAAGAATTTCTGTAGAAATTATTTTAATTTACATCATCAATGTCATACTCTAATTTCCAAAGTGAATCTAAACAACCAATCTGTCCTTAAGGAGTGTGATAACAGAAGAAATAAAGAATCATATCATGAAATTAGAGGGGAAAGTGTAATAGAAAAAGTTAAGTGGAAATAACATCTCTTATAACGTTATACAAAAGGACTTTTTGGCTGAGTTCAGGCACAGCTACTAGTCAAGCATTGGCAGCAGGATGGAGGTCAAAATTACCATTCGTTCAAGGCTGAAGGTACAGGGAAGAACTAAGATGAAAAACTGACATGTACTCTTCGGCTCAGGAGAATTTTAAAAATAAAGGGGGCGATTTGAATGACATCCAGAAAAAAAACTTTAAAGGAGAAAATGGAGTTTATGAAGAGATAATTATTATTTATTAGTCCAGAACAAGTTTTTAATCCTCTTAGAGAACTATTTCAGACTTTCTGTTGTGATTCCAGGGGACATGTGGGGAACTATGAGGTAAAAAAGTGAGCATCAGGGGCTGACTGTCCCTAACAACCTCACTTTGTCATTGTCTACCATCACAGAAATTTGCATGAAGAGAATTCATTCTTTTTTACCATTAATCATGTATATATGTTTCAAGTTTGAAAAGGAGAGCTCTTAGTGGAAATCTTAACATACTTATATAACAAAATTAGGAAGAAGAAGAGAAATTATTCTTGCGTATCTAAAAGAATGGCTCAGCAAAACGTTTTTCTACGCAGACACCAATAGACAATAAGTCTTTGAATTATAGACGTCTAATTACACATATCTGTTGCAATACTACTTGGTGTCCTCATTTACAGAGAAAGTGAGTGTGCTAAACATGTGCAGACGAACATCCAGGGTGTGTTTACACTGAATTCATCATTACAAAAATAAGTAGCTGTTGCTATATAAATTCTCAATGTAAAAATTAATTTGTGAAAGCCAGATCTATTCTTTTCAGAGCATTAAAAGTTAAATTTCAGGTTTCACTTAAGGAAAATAAATCATTATCCACTGACTAAAATAGGAATGATAATCATGAAATGAACTTGAATCAGCAGAGCGCATGTTTAATTGGAGTCTATCAAATCTAAAAATGATAGTTCTTTTTTAATATAGAAATCTGTGCTTGAGAGGGGATTCGAACGTATTGTTCCAAAGATAGCTCCTAGTATTTCTTTGTCTTATTATGTGAATACAATGGGAAATAGATAAAAATAATGAAAACCAGGAAGGGGAGTGTTATATTGATAAGCATAACAAAACCAGAGCAAATATGCTGAGCAGATATAATGTTTGATGATTTGGAGAAAATGTATGAAAGATCACATTATTTCTTTTTAAGTAAAAACAGGTTTTAAATGCAAAAATATAAACGTTAATATATAAAATACAAAAATGTTCTAAGATATAATCGTCCATCTTTTTATTTATATTTCTTACTTGTTTCTAAACTGATATCTATTCTGATCACTGACTTTACAAACATTATTTTGAAAATCTTGTGAAGTGCAGTGCAATGCATTGTCTGTAGCTTTTAAAATCGATTGTCTGCTTGGCAACTTGAATTCAGAGAATGAAAGACTAGCTTAGAAATTGTAATCATATCAATTTCTCAGTGGCACAGAACAGTGTCGAATGCTCTCTCATAACCCGGAGCTGAGGGAGCTTCCTAAAGTTGAGCTACATATCAGGTGCCTCAGGCCTGAATGGGCTAACATCCACCCCTCCTCCATTCCTACTCTGCCTCAGGCACCCAGGGTGCATCACAGGGGCTTGCCATCTTCCCCATCTGGATCCCAGGAAGCTGGGAATGGATACCAATTTCTCTGAGACTCCCTAAATCAATCTGTAGCTCATCGCAGGCAGAGATGGGTTCTTCTCCAAAACCTTTACTGATTACATACTTTATAGTTACTTGTTTCTTCAAAACTCTTCCTCTGACACTGCTGAAAATTGACTTGTTATGGATTGAATGTTTGTTTTCCACACCCTATGCATATGTTGAAGCGCTAATCTGCAGTGGGACTGTATTTTGAGGTGGAGCCTTTGGGAGGTAATTAAGATTAGATTAGGTCATAAGGGTGGGACACTCATGATGGGATTGGTGGCCTTATAGGAAGAGGAAGAGAGAGATTGCTCTCTCCCTCTCTCCACCTGCATGCACTGAGGTAAGGCCGTGTGAGGTGGTCATCTGCATCAGAAAGTAGGCTCTCCCTGAACCTGACCAAGCTGACACCTTGGTCTTGAACTTTCCAGCCTCCGGAACTGTGAGAAATAAATGTTTGCTGTTTAAGCCACTCAGTCTGTCATATTTTGTATGGCAGCCTGAGTTAAAAAAGACATGATTCATAGGCAGCAATTTATTCTTCCCGATACTGTTCTTTATGATAAAAAGATACGGTGTTGAGTCCTATAGACTCTTAACATTTTGAAACTGCAGCAAACAGAGGAAACAAATCACTCTTGTCTCTCTCAAAATGTCTCATGATTGCAGAAAACAATTGTTTGTCAAGACTATCATCTATTCTGTTTAACAATTCCAATCCTCTCCCAGGTAACTGAAGAGATGTAGTGTTGAGAATAGATTTGTTGGCAGGGCGGGCGGGGGGCAACTGATGTCAAGGAGAGAAAATTTTGGTTATCAGCTGATGATTTCACTCCTCAGCCTATAGAATAATATGGCTCTTAGGGATCTACCCTAGCAGATGGGGTTAGGATGTCCCCAGAGAAGTTGAGGACGGAGAGAGCGTATGGGCTAGACATACACCCCGATGATGTTCTCCAAATTCCCTCTGACTATATTTCAAATGCATATCTTCAACTTGTATTCTGAAAATTCTTGGACATTTATGCATGAGTGCATATTAACAGCCTACTAATTATTTCTCTTATTTCAGTTAGCTGGAAACTGAAAAACAAGTGTCTACAAATGCTTGTCTTTAAAATTGCTGAATCTGAATTACGTAGAGAGATTCTTGAAATTTTGACCCTCACAGAGCTCCATGTTCAGAGATTATGATTCAGAAGGTGTGAGGTAGAGCCTAGAAAGCTGTACTTTTTAAGCAGCCCCTAACCTTAGAACTTCTGCATCTATATTTATGAGAGAAGTTAGCCTATTACAATCTTGTCTTGTGATAGCCTGGCCTATATAACATTGCTATCAGTTATGTAGGTATCTTGAAACAGGTTGGGAAGTGTTCCCTATTTTTATAATATCTGAAAAAGTTTGTGTAAGATCGGCATTGTTTATTGCGTATTTGAAAAATTTCACCAATTAAATATCTTTTAATTTTCATCAGATATTTTATTGGATAATTTTTTAGGTTTCCATTCTCTGCTAAAATTTTCCAGCATGTTGTTTTTTTAACATATTAATTCACAGTTATTTTAATATTTGTGTCCAATAACTCATATTTTTAATTCATGAATACTTCTCTATTAGATATTTTTCTCTCTTGGTTTTGCTCAGTTGGTCTTATTTCTTGCTATGCCTTGTAATTTATTATTTATGCCCAATATTGTTTTGGGCATTGTAGAAACAATCGAAAACGCTAAGCGAAATTATCTTTCTCTAGAAAAGAATATATATGTTTTCTAAAGTTAGTTAGAGGCAGGTCACCTTAATTCAGTATGAGGTGGGTCTGATGTGTACCTGTATTTCCATCTTTGCGAGGTCTGCTTCTTTTTCTGTTTGCTGTTATGCACGGGGAGGAGCTCCTCAAAGGGTCAGATTCAGAGCCTGGAATGTTTCCCAGAGTCCACCTTCCTTGGCAGCCTCTTAATTACAATTTTTGTTTTCCAAGCCTACTGACAGTACTCAGAATTCTGCTCAGATTTTCTTGCCTCTCTTTACAGATTATTGCCATGAGAGATTTTCTTTTCTTCTGAAATTCGCTCCATCGAATTAGCAGGATTGATAGGTCTCTGATGGCATCAAACAGACTTTTGAAAATATTTTTAATCTGTATTTTATCATCGTTCCCAGGGTTTGATTCAAGTTAGTTCATATATAGGAAGAGATGTGCTATGCTGTTTCTTTTTAACTTACCACCGACTCTAGCAATACTGTTGAATAATTATAATCAGAATACGGCCCATGATTTTTGCCTTTGGTCAAAACTACCAGCCTTCTGCTTCTTTGTCCCACATCCACACAAAAAGACATCTCAAATCTCATTTCTCCCATGAACGTTTTCTAACCATGCTAAGCATGTTATTTTATCTTTCAGAAGTGATGACACTTATGGCCCCGTGATACCTATACAGCTCATTTACTTTTTTAGAAGAGTATAAATTAATGAGTCTGGTTTCCACTAATTTGAAAAAGAAAAAAAGAAAAACAAGAGTGCCAACAGGTATCAGGGGTGAGCAGGATAAAATTTTAAACAGGATGGTGAGAGTAGACCTCAATGAGAAGATGACCTATGAGCAAAAACCTCAAATTATCTGTACAGAACTTCAGGAATAAGTCACAGCCTGTGCCAGGCCTACGTCAGGGGCATGTCTGGTGCATTTAAGGAATGGCAGAGAGGGCACTGTGGATGAAGTCAAATGAACCAGCAGAACAGGAGAGAATGCACATACATAAAAACAG